TATGAGTACAGAAGGGCACACAAGGACCCAGGAAGGAATTTATCAGCAGTAAATTGCAGGCATGTCAGTACTGTTTGTATCACTTAGGTTATCACCAGTGTTAACCAGTATTTCCACTTCGAAGGTCTCTTCCAAGCACAGTCACATGCCAGGACCAACCCCAGGCTCTGCCAGGTAAGGGATCAGAGTTATGTAGCACTGGTCAGTGCAGCTTTGACAGAGGTTTAGGGAGGTTCTCTGGCAAAGGCCCCAAAGCAGAGACACAGAACAGTCTCAAGGATTTTACACCAGGTGGCTGCTGCTCATCTTCACTTGGAGCTCCAGAACTGTTACTGGCAGGACAAAGTCTTACAAAGTGTCACCTGTAAAGAACAGATCCCTGCCCAAAAAATGGGAATGGAATTGTAAGACAGGGGTTAGGTAGGAGAAAACTATGGCAGGAGTCAGGTTTCCATCACTACTCTGTCCCTGTTTTGGAGGCCCACATGTTAGGAGTAAGGTATTTGTATTAAACACAAACCAGCATCTGCAATTTCATTTAACACAAATTTCTTTTTGGCTTTCTGGTAACTGCAGGCATCTCCACTTCTGTAGTGATTCTACGATTCCAGTGTGTTCAGTGACTATCCAAAACCAACACCCTTGTTACATCAACACTCCTAAAAGCTCACAGCAAACTGTAGAAACAATGGATTTTAGCAACAGCTAATCCCATTTCACCTAGTGAGTTTTCAGAAAATTATTAAAAGGATGAAAAAACCCACTTCAAAATACCAGTTATTTCTGGAAACAAGAAGCAGATGTTCTCTTCTGTTTGGCTCAGCTGTGCTACAGTACAAGACTGCCTTTGTTATGCTGTCAGCAATAATTTATTTTATTTATTACAGCCATTTTATAATGCCCATCAATGTACTATTTGTGCATGATTTACATCCATGCAGATCCATTTCTCTGTATCTAAGCCATCAAGAAGCATCACATACACACTCCAAACAGCAGACTCCGTTATGACACAATTCTGCAAATTAGGTTTTTCCTCTTTCCACTGTATTAATAAAAAGGGAACAGGAAGAGAAGGAGGGTAGTTAGTATTGCCAAATAAAGTCGAATTATCATTAATCAAGAATTAATGCAACAAGACAAAGTTAGGAAAATACAAGAGCTCAGAGCATAAAAATAAACTCCAACTCTTTGAAGTCAAATAAAGGCAAAGCTTTCTGAACCACGAAAGTAAACACTGTCTAGAACAAAGTCATGAAGAACTAAAAGAGACTAAATTGGGGAAAGGATCCATTAAAAATGGAAGAGAGCATGCCCATGGGAGGGGAGGGGAGGAGAAGGGAAGGGAAAGAAAAAGGAGCACAGTCATTTGCTGTTTGGCCCTATCAGCCACTGAGCCCTTATCTGAGGCAGGCGTTAAACCACTCCCCAAAAGACCAACATCAGAGCCTTTGTACAGATCTGATAAGGAATTGTGGGCCTCGAAAAAATTAAACCTTTAATGAGAATGCACACATGGTAGCATGAGCATTCATCCTTCCCTCCTACTGCTTTGAACAAAAGATTTTCTTCTATTATATTTTCTGTTCTATTTCTATTTTCTTCTATTTCTTCTAATATTCCCAAGTTACTAATTTAACATCCCCACCTGTGACACAAGAAACAGCCAAAACACTGCACAGTAAAGCCCATATTCCCAGCCTGCAAGAACTGGAGGATCTGCATGTATGAACACTCACAGATTTACCACCACGCACACATCTGCATAACCCTGGAAGACAAATGCAGGTATTAAAATATTCAACGAGTGTATGAAATCCTACAGTTTAAATATAGGTATGACTTTTTTTAAAGTGATTAAGTATCCAATTACTGCCAAGATTTCCTCTCTCTGACAAGACAGAAAGGATGATTTGTTAGGATAATCTGTTATCCAAACTAACATCTGAGAGAAGCCTCACAAATTCTGCACTTTCAGGCTGTACCTGAAAGACAGATTTATATCCAGAGTCAGCCCAGGGTCACAGTCCATCATGGAACCAACAAGTCAGACGTTTGACTAAGTGGGACTCACTCAAATCCTACAGCAGCATCTGCCACATACATGGACATCAGTCCCCCAGGAAACACTCTGGAAGCCTTTCCAATAGAAAAGTCACTTGCACCACATATTTACAATATGCCCCCTACAATGATGCACTAGAGGAGAGGAAAGGCAGAGGAAAGGCATCAAAACCTCGGGTAGTTCTAAAGAAAGTTTCTAAACAGAGTAACACAACAATTACATAAAAATGTACACATCATTAAAGGTTTCCTACAATCTCTACAAGTTCATCAAAATACCCCCCCCAATAAATTAAAGATTATAACACAAGAAGTATCTGAGCAACCAAAAAAAAAAAAATCAAGTGTGTACATGCCTAATATGCATAACTTATACACTTTAACAATTAGCAAACATTGGAATGTTACCACAACACTGAAAACTTGCCCTAACAGAGATTTTTTCCAAACAAAAATATTCGCGGCATCAACAGAAAAAACCTTTACTTGAGCAAGCCATTGAGGTAATTTTCAAAATAAGTAAATTACAAAAATATTTGAGTGCTTCCCTGCTTAGTTTCGTAGTTCTTAGAAATTAAAACATTTTGCCAAGAAAGAGACTTAAATCAAAATCATATGGATAATTCTACTACTTGTAAGCAAATTTTGGCATGTGGAGTGTTTATCTGTATTTTTCCAGACTCTGTACAGATGACAGGAATGAAGCACCAGACCATGCTACTAATCAGCACAGCCCCAACCCTGTAATTTGTGATAAATACCCAGGTAAACTGCTCGTATAAACTGCAGGATCAGAAGCAGAGAGGGGGGCAGAAGGGGGCTGAAAGTGATTGAAAGTCATGTGGACAAGCAGCTTTGGCTTATCACAAAATGCCGCTCACGGCTTGGGGAATTTGGGGGTTCCTGCACAAAAACGCAGCCAAAGGGCACGAGCAGCTGATTCCATGTGGGAGGAGCTGATGATACCTTCCCCCGAGAGTAGGAGGGGAGAAATGAAGCCACACTTTGTGCCTGTGTACAAGTGGATACTTCAGGACAGGAGTCACCAGATTGTACATCCTGTGCAGGGACGCCCGAAATTTGGGTCTGACCCGATGGCTGTGCTAAGGTTTCAACTCCCCTGCCCCGAGTCCTGCAGCCTACACAGGAGAGAGAGGACAAGTCAGGATGCTGAGCATGATTTTAAATAAATAAATGAATGAATAACACTGCAGATGTTTGAGGAATGTGCCAGCATGACTGCGACAGGGGGTTCGATGTTGTGCTTTGTACCTGAGCAGGTAGCACAGACCCAGACCGGGGACCCCCAGGGACACCCTGTTATCCGAACAGGGAAGAGCTTCTCCTTTAAACATATACAAACAAAAGTACCCCGAGAAAACAGAAGTGATTTGACTGTAATTATCCACTCAGCAACAGGCAGCAAGAACAGAGGACCCAATCCTGCCAAGTTTTAAGTACATGTTTAACTTTAATCACGAGTAGTCTCGCTGTGCGGTGTCTCTAAAAGCCTGCCAAAAAAGGGCCAGATTAACAAGGGAATTAAGATTTTTTTTTTTTTAATCATTTTGGAAGCGCTATTAGTTAGACAAGCAAAGATTAGATTTTTTTTTTTCTACAATTAAGATACCTTGGCAAATTCAAACCTGCACACAACCCTGATGTCAGTCTCAATGGGAACCTACACGGATCCACACGAAACCCCAAGCAGCTGGACATGGTGATACCTGTCAGTTTAACATCAAGGCTAAGCAAAATAATTATTTTAAAGCAGTTTTAGCCATTTCTCACCAAAATAAGTGGACAACCCTAAAGAATTCCATGACAGCTGCTGGGTGGAAAATTGGGGATGCCTAAAAATAAAGAACAAACAAGCTCTACACAGCAACAGATGTTGGTACAGTGAGTGGGGAGAGGTTTTGGGCCAGGCCAGATTACCTGTTCCCCAAAGTCCAAGCCATGACGAGCCAGCAGGGAATGCCAGCTCATGAATGACACTTCTGTGATGAACCCAGTTGCCCAACACTGCAAACCACACTGGCAAAGGAATTTTGCTAACTGAAGACTCCAGCTGAAGAGAGAAAGAAAGGTCTGAAGCAAGAGGGGAGTTCTAAAAATAAGGGGGAAAGAACGAACAGAGAGTCTGCCTCATCATTAATTCAGAGACACAGGGAGGAATGTGTGGGATATCCCAAGGCGAGTAAACATTGGGACTGAACATCTGTATTTCACTCACGAGGCTGACTTGAGAGGGAATGGGGGACTCTGTCCTGTAGGACGTACTCCAGAGCAGCTCTCCCTGAGTCGCCCTTTCATATTTAACTTATAAGGAAGGCCAGGCAGGACATTCTGCTCTCCATGAAGTATCAAGGGAGAACAGATGTTTCCCAGTCTCCAAGGGACAAACTCAAGAGTGTATCACTTCATACCACTAATTCTTGAGTACTTAAAAAAAAAAAAATCACAGCAAGGGAAACAACTAAAGGAAGGCAAAGGGTAAGTAAGCAAACAAACTCCAATCAGCCCTTCAGTAAATGCAAATGCTATCAAACGTATTTCATTATTAAGTTAATGCTCCACGGCATTACCATTCCCAAAAATACATGGCTGATTACAGACTAGCTTGTGGGGAAGGGACAGGGAAGGCAGTTAATTGGAAAGTGCATTTTATTGTAGCTTACCAGCCTCGCACATTTCTACACTCCCACTCACTGCAGAAACATCTTTATGAAGTCTGCGCAGCATAATTAGTTTGGTTTTGTTTAAATCTGCATCACCGTGCAGGTAAGCAAAGCCTTTCAGCTCCCTAAACTTTTTCCCAGAAGTTTTGCATCACTGAAATATGCATCATTTCACTTTCCGGCGACCTGCTTCTCGTTCTTCCTCTTCTCCCCCAGCTGGCCTGGCACAGCCCAGAGAGCGCCCCGTGCCCGTACCCGGGGCGTTCCGAACCGCGCCGCTCCCCGGAGCTCGGGCTCGGCAGAGCAATGAACAAACACCGCGCTCCGGTGCCAGCCCGGGGGCAGAGTGCGAACACACCGGGCACCGCGGAGCCCGCGCCGGGGGAACGCGGCTGCGACACGGGGAAAGTGACAAAATAAACAGAGAGAGCCGGCTGGGCCGCCTCACCTCGGAGTGCGCTCCGCGGGCTTCTTCCTTAAAGCGCCTGTTTTGACCTGGGCTCACCGGGGCGCTCATCCTCCGCCGCTGGGCTCCCGCCGGGGCGCTCCGGCCGCGACACTCGCCCCGCGCTGGGGGCGGAGCGGGCGGCTCGGCGGAGCCGGGCAGGGCCGGCGCGGTGCCCGCCGCCGGGCTGGCGCTCGGGGCTCGGCCGGGCCTCAGCGGCGCTGGCGGCGCTCGGGGCGGGCGGCGGCGGCTTCCCGGCGCGGTCCCGGGCCGGCGCCGCTCCCCATCGCGCCCTGCGCCAACTTACCGGCCCGCCGGGACTCCCCGCGCGCGGCCCCCGCGGCTCCGCCCTTCCCGCGCCCGCACCAAAGCGCGCGGCCGGCGGGGAGCTTCCGCGGCGCGGGGCGGCGGAGGGTCCCGCGGAGAGGAGCCCCCGCGGGCGGGACCGAGCGCGCGCCTCCGTTCGAGCTGCCGGGGAGCCGCCGGTGCCGCCCGGACCCCCCGCCCCGCTCAGCCGGCGCGCATCCCCCAGACCCGGAAAAGCGGCGAGCGCGGGCGCTTTAACCGAGAATAGCGAAGAGGGGCGAGGCGGGGCGCGAGGGCGGGGGGGCCGGCGCGAGACTCCCCCCTGGGCGGCAGGGGCGGGGCCGGCGGACGGCGCGAGCGAAGGTCGCGAGGCTCGGGAGGGGCCCGGCGCGTGCGCGCTGAGGCGGCCCCGCCCCCGCGCTGGTGTGAGGGTTGGCGGGGCCTGGAGATTCTGCTGAAAACGGCTTTTGTGCCGCCTTGCGCCCCAAATAAAGCATTTTCTGCATTCACCTACACTCGCAATAAAGCATTTTCTGCATTAATTGCGTGTAGTGCACGTCAGTCGGGATGCGCTGCCCCAGTCAGTGTCCATGGGCAGGGCTCGCTTCGCTGTCATGGCACCGCTGCCCCTGTGCTTTGCCTGCCTTCCCACCTTTTCCTCGCACTGCTGTTCGCAGGACATTGGCCTCCGTGATTCCTGAGCTGCTCCACGCCTTTGGCTTGGGGAGTGAGCCCATCCCCGTGCTGCCCACCGAGGCCTCGGGCATGAGGGTGGAAGGACCGGCCTGCGAATTGGGAGCTCTTTATATTAAATATAAAAAAGCTGCTGGCACAGCTCGGGAGCCCTGTGGGGATTTACAGAGTTCTCCCAAGCCCCACGTTCCCAGGACCGACGGCCCCTCGGGGACACCAGGAAGCCGCCGTGTGTCAAACACGCCTCGGAAGATTTCCTTCCTACCCCAAGTCCAATTCTGTAAATTTAGGAGATCAAAGCTATGCAGGCACACAACTTGTGTTTGTCCTTTTTTTTTTTTCCTCTTTCCTTCCTAACAAACAAGAGTGTTTTTGTTTCTCCCCTTTCTCCAGCCACCCCTTCCCATTCTCTTTACCACTTGCCCTTTATGGCACAATCGTCTTTGTTGTGCTCAAGGACTTTATTGTCCATTCCAAGTTGTTTTATAATATTTCTAGTGTTTTCTTCAAAGAAAAAGCTGAGGAAATATGACATTTCCTCTGCTGTAGACTGTGCTGGGGCTGTGCCTGGTACCATTGCAGATACAACAGCGGGATGGACAGCCTGGATCTTAAAAGCAACTACCCTTAACATCACACAGTCATTACCCTGCAACCACGACAGAGAGAACATAAGATGCTCTCAAAAATGAGTTGGTTTCAGTCCCATAAAGTCTAGCAAAGCTCATTTTCTTTCCTTTCTTTTTTTTTTCCCTTCATTTTGAACTTCCGTAGTAAAAGTAGCATTTCCAAATACCATGTCTATTATCGTTCCAAAGGTCAGAAGTTTGTACTAGTTATTTGGCAGAACACGTTATCCTTTTTCAACTTTAGTACATAAAATATTATTTTCACTAGTGTGGGAATCTTCAGAGATCCCCTGCCAGGAAACCAAATGGAAAAGATGGAGATAAAAAGTTCTCCTGGATAACTGAGGAAAAGCAAGAATAAAAGAACAGAAGCATGAATCCTTCTTTATTACGATCCTTTCTTTTTTCCTTATTTTTTCCTTTTTTTTCTTTTTTAACCAGAGATGTAACAGCAAATCAAGTAATTTTTCTTTATCAGCTCAGTTTATGTTTAAAGATAATGTAAAAGACTAGTCAATACTCCCCAGGTGGAGATGGCTGGAAAAAAAATTTATTAAAGACTAGAAAAACACCCCAGATTTTGCTGAACTCTGTGCTGTCACAGTTCTCATGGATCTGTAAAAATTTAAGCCCTATTCTTGGTTTTTAGAAGGGAACTCATTCTGCTACCTATTCCAGCTGCTTAGCATTCCTGCAATGAACATAATACTGAGGTGGACACACAATATGGGAATAAAGTTAATTGCCTAAAAAGTCCTTTTACTTTTGCACACAAATTCTCCCATTTATTGTACACCAGCCTACAGGCAAGGAGCAGTAAGGGAGCCAGAGCTATTCCATAGGAACCAAAGCTGCTGGTCCAATTTAATTGCTTGGCAAAACCGACCCGTGAAACAAGACTTTCCTCTCTCCAAAAATACCCGAATTTGGGTGGGTAATGGCTCTAATAGCTGCAATTATTCCAGGGGTTATTTTAGCTGTCGGGTTTATTTTCCCAAATATCTGGAGAACAATGGAAACGAGTGTCATGATCCCAAGTGCTGACTGGCGTTACAGCCAAGGTCTCCCGGTGGTAAAGCCGAGGTAGTTAAACACAATTAAGAGGCTTTCACAAGTGAGTAATTTTGGGGCTGGGATTGAAGGATGTGGCCAGGCAGGATGGTGATTGTCCATGCAGAGGGGAAAATTTGCTTCCCTTTAGCCTGGATTGTATCACTGTGCCCAAATAAAGCACCGTTACTTATCACAGAGGTTTTTTATTGAAAACCAGAAGTGTCTGTAGGCTTACATAAAAGAATCAAAGGTGCTTTGCTATTAATACAGATGAGTCTCAGGAGATTGTTTCTGCTTCAAACATGCGTGAATTTGGGAAGAGCAGCTGAGTTATGGAGTACTTCTCCCCCTCCCAGCATGTTCCCTCAACTGTTCTGGTTCACTGACACTCCCGAAGATGCCTTTTCATCTCACGCCTTGTACCATCGTGTGCCCATCCCAGATTCCTCAGGGTAAAACTCAACTTCCTCACCTCTCCCACCAGGAAAGATTGATAATCAACATGCACTGAAATATTTTTAACTTGTATTTTTATGTTTCTGTGTGTTTCTTGTCCTGTGAGTTTTATTACAGCCTGGCAATTTCCTTCCTCTTGTTCTCCAATCTGGCTGTTAGGCTGTTGGTCTCTTAGCTTTGGAAAAAAAAATTCCCTTTGGAGATTCATGCATTTCATTGGCAACAACTACCAGCTAAGTATGTGGTTAACACACCGCAAGGAAGATACACAAATTAATTCTCTGCCTGACTAGAGGAAAACAAAATATTCTGGGATTCCCAAGGGGAAGAACCTCTTCAGACAGTTTTACCATATATGCTTATTCTGATGATGAACTTCCTGAATAGAACATATTTATGATGGTTCAGTAAAAGTCTGTGAAATGGGGGAGGCAAAGGCATCACTGGGAATTTTGTGGAAGTTCACCTTTTGCAGGAAAGTTACGTTTTTACAAAAGGCACAACACTGCTCAGGCAGCCGCATAAGAACATTGATCTCCTGGCTAAAACAGCATTTTGCAGCTTAAAATTTCCATTTCTGAAATTAAATGTGAAATACCAAATTATTTTTGCAAAATCAAACCCAAAAATGGTCATTTTGTATTGTACTGCTAATTCTGCCCCTTCTGAGGGGAAATTCCCCACTATGCATATTCCCAGAGCTTCAGTGAAAAGGATAAAGGTAAAAGGTGGAAAAGAAGCATCAGAACTGTGAGATCTCTATCTCTCTGCTGTATCATAATAACATTTTTAAAAACTAAACCCACATCTTTGTTCTCTCCAACTAAAGACTAGCTCAGCTTTCCTTCCACGTACAGGTTTTTCCTGAAAGGTAAAAGCCATGTGCACATAAGCTCCTTGTGACAGTCAAACAATTGCTTTCCAGCCTTTATCCACAAGACTGAAACAAATGGGGACCCTGACACCTTTTAAACTGGGGATGTAGCACTTTGTTACATAAGTAGAGATACTTAGGTTTTACCTCCAAGGGAGACTTTCCCTGCTTTTCCTGTTCCCTGTCACACAGCTGATGGTCTCTAGTGTGCTGAGTGCTGGTGTGAATGGACTAGGAATACAGTCAGCCTTAAGATTGAAAGGTTTTAAGATTATATTAACATGCAAAGAGAGGGAATGACAAGCCCCAGCTGCTCCCTGGAGCAGCCTGAGCCATAGCTCAGCTGGAGAGAGCAACCATTTCCTACATCTTAGCTCCCACCTGAAGGGCACATCTCTCAACTGAGGGCAGTTTATGGGATGTCCACAGGAAAGGTTTCATGGAGGGCAGGTGCAAATTCCGCAGTAATGAATATTTTGTGCTTGAGGATGCACAGTGTGTTGGGAACATCCCACCCTGCCCGTCGTGTCGGGTAACCCTCGGCCAGTCACACACCGGGTCGCTCCTGGAATCCCAGTTCCCAAGTGAGGAGCAATCTGCAGAAGGAAGCAGTGAATTGGGTTATTTGCTGTTCATTTACTAAGGTTTCTATGAACACAAAGACTGGCATTGATCCGGACCCTCCGAGAGCTGCCAGTGAGGACAGTGAAAGCTGCTTGTGTTGGAAGAGCACTGCCTGTCCCGTGACACTGACATGTGTGTTCCCATCTTCCTCATTTCTCTTCCTTGTTCCGATGGGAGAAGACAGGTATGAAGACATTCCTATCCCTTGCCATTGCTGAGTGACTTGAAAGGGTCTGTCCAGGGCCTGCCACCACCCTGCTGCAGTCACCAAACCCTGACGGATGTGAGTGGGATGAGGAGAGAAAGCACTGCTGCCAAGCCACTGGAGCATCCAACCTGCCCCAGGCACGGTGTACTGTACAACAGTATCAACAGTGCCTGGTGAAACAGAATAAGAACTGACAAAAACATTCAAAATTGTTATAAAATAACATCTAAAAACCAGCTGGTTTGCTCCGAGCCACGAGTTCTTGCCCCAAACAGGTACACACTCTGCAAAGGAGCAGCTCTGCCTGAAACAGGCTCTTTTATCAATTTTTTTGTCTGTCTGATGCTGTTTTATTTTTGCTACACACAACCTACAGATATTTGATTCCAGCCTCAGCACTTTGTTGGCAAAACAAAAGAGCATATGGACCTGTCTAGATATTGGAGTCATCCAGCAACAGTATACAGATGTCCATGCTCGAGACTGAAAAAAATTAAAGATGGGGGTGGCGGGGGAAAACCTGCCCTGACAGGAGGCAATCTGGAGTCTGGTGACTGCCTCATTTGCGTGTTCTTTTTTCCTATAATCAGGTTACAGCTTCAGCTGAAAGATTTTCTTCATTTGCCCTGGAAACCTCATGCCAAAAACCATTAGAAAGGGGAGGGTGGGGAAAAGAATGGGCTGGGCACAGATAAAGATGAAGACTTAAAAAAGAAATAACAAAAAGAAAGAACACTCTTGCCATGGAAAACTCCCCACCAGTAATCTGGCATCACTTACCAATTTAACATATCTAATTCCAAACATTTAATGTCTCTTTCATTAATTTTTTGGGGTCATTAAATGTTGTACAACTATAAGCCACAAGAAGATTTCACAAACAGCAGGGATTTTGTGTCTGTGACCTGTTATAACCCAGAGAGAACATGCAATGGGATTTGTATTTTTCTACTGAGCAGCTATTTTCAGAGGCAAAAAGCCAAACACTTGCATAACTCAATGTGACCATTCTGTACATCTGTGGCATTTGTCAGGGGACAACACTTTGGCCAACAACATTGAGCTAGTAAAAGAAGGGGACATGCCTACAGAGAACAGCCAGTTTAAATATGATAAAGATTAGAGTAAATAGGATTTTAGTCCTTCCCCTTTTTAAGTAAATGGAGTAATTCTCCGAGCATGTGGAAAAATAATAAACAACTTCTCCTCTGCCAAAGAACAGGCCAACGG